TCCAGTCCAGAAGGATGCCACAGAATTTTAGTACAAAATTGATAACGAGTGGCACGGGTGATATGAAAGCGTTTGTGGTTGGAAGCTTACCTGTGGATATTCTCGTAATTAGTAGAGCACTTCCTCATTCTTAGATGTTACTTTACTGTTTTAACATAGAACTGTACATGTGAGTTATCAAAGTCTCATACTAGCGAGGGCTCTAATCCTAGTTTAGAAAACAAGATGCCAGTTACTTATCATCTCTGAACTGCTTTGAGCGCGTTTTCATGTCGGGCTCAACTAAAAACAACTCCCGTGATTCTCGTGCGTCCATCTACTCTGCTAGTCCTGCACTTCAGCCGTATGACCGCCCAACTCCCTAGGCTGATCCATCTTAACCTATTTGTCAGGGTTCCGCTAAAATAGGTGTTGAAGAATGTCTTCAACCGGCGAAAATTTAGGAATAATACAGAGACAAACATTAAAAGCCCAACACTGCGATCGTGTTCTTGTTCCATTATGGATAAATTTTCATTTTTAGAAAGTCACTCAGTGTTATACATTAATGTTTACTGATGACCACATTTCGAGAACAATTTGTCACTGCTCGTAATTATATCAAGGTACTCACTCACACTACTTTCCAACTTCGTTTAAATACATGAGCAAAAATTGATTGCACATTTGAATAATTCAGTATAGGATAAAGTACATTCGACAATAATATCAGTGCTATCGGTAAAATACAGTAGGATGGGAAATAAGACAAATATTTTTAGTCAATACGATGTTTTTATGGTAAATACATAACTTGTAAGAATGTTATAATGTGAACTGAAATATATTTTAACATTATTTCTTATCCTCTGATTTGACTAGTAATAATATCTCCCGTATCATTAGTAAATATTGATGTATAAAACTGTGTGACTGTATCGAAGTAAAATTTTATCCATAATTAAATCATACTTTACCACAGTGCAAAAATTTGTCTTTATATCACTCTCCTGTTCCTTGAGGATCTGATCGTCTGTGTTGTGCCTTCTTTGACTTCCGTCAACACAGATAAGCACGAGTGGTTTTATTGCACGCCCACGTTAAGTGTGGTGTCGCGGTCCGAAACCATCGTGGTTTCATGACGAACTATATTTTACTTATGCTTTTAGATGAAATTTCGCACTAAAAGTTTTTCCTGGTGTACGTATTACCCGCGGCACTGTATTCTTGCACTGCATTACATTTCCCGCACTTTTATCAGAAAATGGTGATTGATACTGATATCTGCACAATATAACGGACTAGAGGAAGAAGCAGGTTCAAAAAATAAACGTATATTATTGAATTTTCCTGAAATGATGCTGGTATGTTTTGGTTTGTTTGTTAAAACCCCCTCATACCCAATCCATGAAGGTGGCGCCAGTTAAGAAAACGGACATGCCATATGATCGCCCTGAACACAGTGACCACTCAATATGAAATGACCAAAGTCAAATGAATTCACAATTCCTCTGACCACCCACACCATCGTTTGTCCATAGAGAATGTAAAACTAGGACAACCACTAGGCAGCAGTGACGATGTGCTAGTGGTGTTTGACCTGTTTTATAGAATAACTAACCAAGGACAACTCTCCTACCCAGATCTGTTACGTCGAAGTCAACGTGTGGTAAAGTTATGAATTTAACCTTTTGGTGACACAAGTACCATCCACTAGAGGTGAATGACCACTGGAAGCACGTGAACTTGATCGTCATAAGCAATTACCTCCCTATGATATGTATAGCCTCTCCGTTAAAAAAGTCACGAGGCGTTTCTTGAGCGTGGTAATGGCACCATACGAAAAGGAGCTCTTTGCCATGTTGTCAAATTAAGCAGCATGCCTGGCCCTGAGAGGTCTGTGTCCTACGAAGACAAGAACGGAAGGGACAACATTTTTAGGCCACTCTAGACGATAAAACGCATATTAGCCACTGGAATCTTTATCGACCTGTCATTCGGGGATGAGTGCCTACCACGAAATGTATGATCAGAAACTATAGTGAAGAACTCCTGGGAGATAAAAAGAGAACAGAAGCCTTCAGTATCGCTTCCCAGAGACAGCTAAACAACTGGGATGAAAGAGTGGCTTTACCGCACATCCCCGCTAATTGTAGCGTTCATGTCAGTTGCTATGTTGGTTTAGTAACAAGTTATGTTTTTATATGCTCTCTAAATGAAAAAAAACATTTCTGACTCACATAACATCAGCGGCATAATGTATTTGAACTGCGTTACATTTGCAGCACTTGTATCAGGAAATTTCGCATGGTACTGACATCTGCGTAATGTGATGGATCAAATAAGGTAGGAAGTTCAAAATTTAAACGTGTATTTTTGAATTTTCATGGAATCACATTGGTATATTCGGCCTGTTTATCGAAACGATATTTTCTTAATTGGTAGTTGTTGGTATTCATAGCTCAGTTTCAGCATTAATTTTAGTTTTCATGTGCTCATCACAGTCAGCTTTTCACTTTAAGACTAAAAATACTTGCACCATGGTCATAATATTAGGCGTCATTATGAACTTGTGTTTCAAGTGGCCTTTATTTTGAGTGGAGATTCAACCGCTACAATATTCCAATTTCATAGACATAACGTAGGCTCATATGTGAAAACAACATCCGTACAAACCGGTGACCCACAGAGCGACTTGATTTCGTGTAAGGTACTCCCCTAAAAATATACCGGAATATGGTTCTGATGATTATGACGATGCGGTCACATCAAGTCAGTAATCTTCAAACCGTGTGCTGAAGTCCTCTGTGTCCTTCTAGGTGAACTGTCCAATCATTGGTTAAACAGACCTTAGTTGCCCGGTGGTTGTAATCAATATCTCAAGTGCTGTGAATCTGTACCTTTACAACCAACCACCAAAGGAGATGTGTAGTCTGCTGGTTTCTAAAATCAGGGTATATCCAAACGGATACAACATTCTGCAGCAAGCTCAATGTGGATTGAGGAAGGAGCAGTCCAGCGCAACCAAGATCCAGTAATTTGGAATAGCTAGATAGCGTGGTGGTGTGGGAGGAAGTGACTCCAGTTAAAGTCTGGTCATAGAACCCGCAGAACCTTTCGACTCAGAGTTTCCGAAGTGAGAGTTGGCGACTTGTCGTTTCCGTGAACAGGAGCCTATCAGGAGAGCAGGGGATTTTGCATGTCGATGAACCGTATACACTGCACTTGAACAATGACAAACGCATGGATATCGCCAGGAACAATTTTCGGCCAACATTTACTCCTGGTTTTTGTAAGCGACATGTCAAATAACTGAAGCTCCCTAATACTCGTCCACAGAAGATGTAAAGCGGTGAAGGATAGCAGAAAGCGTCAAAGAGCACAATGGGTTGTGAGAAAAGCTGACTACCCTGAAATACCGTGCCACAGAACGGTGGCTAGTATTCAGTATTAACGAATTTCCACAAGTGTACATCCGGGCGTCAGAAGAATAAAGCTTCCCTTGTCAATCATAAGGAGTCATCCTCTCCCGCAACCTCCCAGCACACCACTGAAAGATAAAAATACACATTAAAGCCAAGCGTAGACAACACGCCGTAGATCACGACAGACAGACATTGTGACAGTTCGCCAATCAATGGGAAATGTTTTTCAAACATGACATACAGAACTTATGACAGCCCACCAGTCTGTATCACCTGACCTTGTTTCTCGTGATTATCACGTGATTATTGGTTATTTTAATGTAAACTCCCACCATTGGTGATTTACCTTGGATGAGTATTGTATTCTATTTCTCATACTGGGAACATTTATTCCCCATTCCCGCTTAGTTAGCCTTCGTTGCTTGTTTTATTTCTTATATGTACTTTAATGAAACTCACTGACCATCCTGTTCTACACATGAGTGCTGCTCGATATGTCTTTGTCCTTCTTTGGAGGACAGTTGCCTTGGTATTGATATCTTTGTGTAATTTTGCTATTTCTTCCATATATTAGAAGCAGACAAATTTTACATTAAGTCACCCGAGTTATAACTATAGTGTGGCCTAGACTCTGTATCGCTAGTACTGATAGTGGGGGCAAAATATCTGCAGGCGTGCAAAACATGGCACGAGCCGGTTGACGTTTCCCAAGATGTGTTACTAGAAGGGCGCTGACGTACTTCTTGGGGCAACCATAACAGGATTGTTCATTAGGGGGCTACAACAAAGATACAGTCTGACCTATTTACCCTTAGAATTTGCGGATAATGCAATCATGACTTACACCCAGTTTTCTTAACATATCTTCTGTTTGTTTTGTTTAACCATTCCACAGATTCTCCTTCTACTCACTCATGGACGCTTTCCCTGCAATTTTCGTGGACGTGGCTGCAGGATTGTCCGACAAGTTCATACAGCATGGTGGCTGTCGTAAACTATAAATCGCCTGCAAAATAAACTAGCGTACTTCCTCTCGGTGCGTTCATCAGACCTGCAGCTATCAAGGGAATGGTTTATACTGGAGTCCACCAAAGACCTAGAACTGTTCCAAAACAACAAGTGAGTATCAAAATGTCACACTGTTTATGCAAGCTCTTCAAAACGATATTGGACAGAGGATATTATTTGAATTTGACCCAAGCTTTCGATCATGTAATCATATTAGTTACAGATTTACACAGCCGGAAACTGTGTGGTTTGAACTGATTCTGCTCTCTGAGCTGAGTCAAAAACGTGTGTATCTCTGATAAGCTTGGCTCCATGTGAGCAGGACAGCCATCCGGTGTTAAGATGACCTCGATTTGGCTAGTAAGTACCTCTGGTTGATGTGAGTGGTATACAATTATTCATCTCAGGCAATCAATGGTATATAGCTGATAGATAGATAGATAATAAAATCCGGTTGAATACAATACAATCGCCACTTCCTCGGCCGTTAGTAACAGTAGTATTTGCAAGTGCTTTCTAAAGTCAACGCGAAATGCAGCTTTACCCTAAAATTTAAGCAAATTTGAACTTACCAACCACAAAACTCAGGAGTGACCTACAGGTGTAAAGCCGCCACACTTGGAGTTCAAGGCCTTTTCCTTTTATCAGGCGCCCCTTGACGTATGCCTGGATTACGATGGTTACGTCGTCTATCTACCTGTGGTGTCAACATTGCTCGTTGTTTACCCGTATCTTGTAATAGTTCCTCATAACATATAAAAAGCTAATGATGTATTTTAGGTATTTTTAAAAGTCGAGTTGCAAAAAGTGTCACAGCTCGTCTTTCCCTAGGATTATTTACCATCTATTTACTGCTTTTTGAAATCTACTTGGTATTGCCTTCGTTATTTGGTCGTGAAGTTCACCTCACATACTGCATATTACTGGTTATTTATGCATTTTTCTATGCAAGCGTTATAAAATGCATTTTTGTAGACCCGAGTATTCGTGGTCTCTTGCTTTCTTCGAAGTCAAAACCTGATTGGAGTTATTGTCTTACATGCCAAACTGTGCGACCACCTCGTGCTCACCATTGCTTTGATTGTGGCACATGTGTTCTGCGACGTGACCATCATTGTACTATCATAGGTAAGATGCTTTATGTTTCATTATTTACCATTCAAATAATTTACTGTGGGTTAAGTATTATTATTATTACTGTTCCCTTGGGTTCCTGGTGGAACATAGGGCTTCAACTGCACGCCTCCACTTGCTTCTGTCTTCTGCTGTATTTTTCACTTGCATCCATGTTAATCCATACTGTGTCAGCTGCTCTTCACACGATCTCCTCCATGTCACCCTTGGACGTCCCACTCGCCGCTTCCCTTTCGGGTTCCACTCGAGCAATTGCCTGACGCGCGATGTCACCCAGCGGCCTCCTCAGCGAGTGTCCAATCCATCTCCACTTTCTCCTGCATATTTGTTGAGCGATTGGTTCTTGTTTCGTTTGTTTCCATAGTTTCTTGTTGGTGATTCTTTCCGGTGGCCATCTGATCTTCAGTATAGAACGAAGACAGTTGTTGATAAAGGTCTGCAACAGGCTGTTGGAAATATTCTTTGTGACCCGCCAAGTTTCTGAACCGTATAGAAGAACTGACTTGACATTTGTATTGTAAATTCGAATTTTGTTGTTGACGCTGAGTGATGAAGATTTCCAAATTGGTTTCAGGTTGATGAATGTGTTTCTCGCCTTTCCGATTCTCGATTTGACATCGTCGTCCGTTCCTCCTGTAGTTGAGACAATGCTCCCTGCCTAGATAAGTGAATGAAGTAACCTCTTTCAAATCCCTCCCGTTGATGGTGATTGGCGCTGGATGTTGTTGTTGGTTGGTTATTCTCATAACTTCCGTCTTGTCTATGTTCACCTGGAGTCCTGTCTTTGCTGCTTCTTCGACCAGTTTGTCGGTGTTTGCTTGTAGGTCTTCGATTTTGTGTCACATCAAACATAAATCATCCGCGAAATCCAGGTCTTCTAGGTTCTTCACGCCGGTCCAGGATATCCCTGTCTTCTCGTTTCCCACTGTCTGACACATAATCCAGTCCACCACAATTAGGAATATCATTGGTGATAATAAGCACCCTTGTCTGACTCCTGTGTTTACTCCAAACGCCTCGCTGAGTTTTCCGTTGTAGATCACTTGACGTGTGCCGTTGTCGTACAGCTGTTGAATAAGGTTGATGAATATTTGGGATACGAATAATTTGTAAGTCACTCAAGAGGATTTTCATTAGAATGTCGCACTGATTGTTTCCCACATTCACAAGCTGTCTATAAAAGAGAAATAATAGGGACGATCTGTGTGAAGTGCGGCAGAATTAGAAAAGATGTCATAAAGGGTTGAAAAACACAGTACTGGCAGCAATACAGAGGATATTGTCATAGTATACCCAAAAGGCTGATTGCAGAAGGTCATTCTGTAGATTTGCTTTTATATATAGCAAGGTAGTAGTCCCAAGAATTTTATCTTTTGGGGATTCATGGGATTAATATACACACATATGTCTGTCTACGCAAATTATAACTATCATCCACCAGTTGACTCTCAGTTTTCATTTTATGGTGCTAGATCTGCAGACTTAAAAATCGATGTATTTATGTTTTAATTCAGCTATATATATCATGGCTAATCACATCTTCCAGATCCGAAGTCGTATCAGTTGTGGCAACTTGAAAGTAGTCAGTTCAGACTTCTCATGCAGTTTTCAGGGATTTTGTGTTCTCTATGTCCTCACTCTAATATGTATCTGACATTTATAATATTTCAAAACTAAAGGTATGTCCTTGCTCTTCATGTAAACTATGATCGTAATTGACTTGTCTAATCTTACTTTAAACTAAGATTTAACCGTATACAGATATTCTCAGTTACTACACAGGATAGATTATATATGTTAGACTTCAATTGATACTGTGTGGTGTCTGGATGGATTTTCTTCCTGGTCATCTGTGCCGGCTATAATAGATAGGATGCACGCTTAGTCATCTCTGTATTCAGTGAGCAATCTTAGCTGATGTAGGAGTAGTTTGGAAGTACTAGTGGTGGTCAGACTGAACGCTTGGCACCGATCATTGACTTCACTAACTGTTCCTTTGGATTGTATAAGGGGGGTGTAGACTACCTGACTAGGATCCTCAGGATGTTAACGAGTCAATGGTTAGAGATTGTTGGTAATATGGCCCGAAATCATTCTTAGTTGTGCAGATATATTCAGTTTTGATTACCTAATTTATTAGTTTCTCGTATTTTCTTATTCAGTTCAGTGAATTCTCATCTACTTCAAGATATATCACAAGAAATCTCGTTCAGCAGATTCGAATACCACTTTAGTACTAACATATTTAAGAAGCGTGTGTGTTTCAGAGTTCCCTGATTAAAAGCAGCCTATTTAACTTAGTTGGAGTATATGTGCGTCGGTGGCACAGTGGTTAGGACTCTCGCCGACCATGGTCTGGGGTTCGATCCCCTGCCGACGCACACCCGATATCTATGGTCGGCCTGCAAAATTTGGGCTACCGATATCCATGCTGAAAATTCCATACTTGTACTGAAAATACGGTGTGGCATCAAGGTGTAATCAAAAATAATAAAAAAAATAAAATATATGCGTGCACCTCACTCAGGATAAGCCTCAATGCCAGTCAACTCAAGCGCTGCTCTAGGTCAGCGTTCCATATTTCAGACGATATTATAATGCCATCATGGCCTTTTGCAATTTGTGTTTTATAGATTGAAACAACTGTTGAATATCATTAAATTTTTACACCCATAACTACTCGTAGTCATTCCAAAGACTCGTTCAATTAATATTTAGGTCAGTTTCCGTCTCATTATGATAGAAGTCAACACCAGTATGTCTGGAGAAATCCACTCGTCATTAGTAAGCTTAATTAGAAGTCACTAAGCATCATTACCTTTACTTTCCTAATAGCCTGAATGTGTCAGATCATATATAAATATTAATTGCTATCTCCTATCCAATTTCTCAAATAAGCATATATATATCCGTTCTCAGAGTTATAAATGCCAGTGGCTGTGATTGAGAGAATTTTAGAAAATATTTACTCTTTTTGGTTCATCAGCATGTAATACTGAAAGTAATCGTGATATTTTTTCACTACCACAGCTATCCTCCTACAATAAGAAATATCATTGGTGATAGAAGATAGCCTTGTCCTACTCCCGTCTTCACTTCAAAGTCCTCGCTGAGCTTTCCATTGTCAGTCACTTGACATGTAGCATCATCACATAGCTGTTGATGCTTAAGATTTTCGGCACTACACTCCACAGTGTTGAAGTTGATGTTTAATGATGACACGCCTCAATTTGATCTTCACAAAGTTTGAAATCTTGATTGGTAAATTTTATCATCACAATTGTAAGATTACTAATTTCGCTTCAACCGTCGTTGTAGTGTTGTCGATCACATTTGTGGGAGAAGTTATGCGATTCATTGTGTTAGGCGCCTGGCCTTCAGTCAACGGGTTGTAGATTTGAGGCTCGTGTCGGCTACTTCAACCCCAGCAATTGATTAGTATGATCAACCGACACACAATAAGTGACTGACTGACTGGTTTCAACGTAGCACTTTACACAGATGTGCAGCAGTTCAAGTTGCCACACTTCACTTAGCACTCAAAGCAAGAGAAGAAAGTAAAAAGAGATTCAAAACAGATTTAATAATAAACAGAAATATGAGGCAAAAATAATACTGATATTGAAAAACAATATAGTTTTATTGGATATTATAAGTCACAAATAGTGGATCCATCTGCACCAGCCATTGAGAACGATTTTGAGCAATATCATCGATTGTTTTCAGCCTTCATTGGTTTTTACCATCCCGAAGACCTCAACCCCAGCGTGTTGTGGATTTCATTGACTGATGAAGCCATGCTTTGGCTTGACCATCATACAATAAGTGTATGTCTTCATACGCCTAGTATACTTAATAATAAGTAATAATATATATTAACTTGTTCCAATGCTTCTCTATGTATTTCATGCCTTTTCTTTTTCTTTGCTTTTCTATTTTCCGTTTCTCTAAAGCTCAGTGTATTGGTCATGCAAATTGGCGATATTTTTGTAATACTCTATTCTATGGTATGCTAGGCTGTATATTTATGAGTTATTATAATCTACAGCTGATATTTCAATCAGACTATTTCCCGTTAACATGGTCAGCATACTATCGTTTATTGTGCATATTAGCACCGCCTGGTTTTATGTGGTTAACTGGTTATTTAACATTTTTACAAAGTTTTGTATTTTTAACAACAAGTCTATCCTTTTTTACAGCTTGTCTTTTGTGCGTATTTATTATTTACCAGTTTAATATGATGTTGTGTAATCAGACAATGTTTGAAAGAGCATTCCATTCATTCAGTCGTCATCATAATCACACTAATAATAATAATAATAATAGTAATAATAATGATAATAGTTATACTGATTATAGTAGTCCAGCTGTAAGAACCTATCAACAACAGAAGGAGAAGGAAGAGACGGAGACATTGAAGACATCATCATCAACTACTGCTCAACAGCAACAGCTACCAGGCTACAATAACTCATCGCCGTGTATGTATAATATCGGTTATATAAATAATATTAAACAGTACTTGGGTGAACGTTGGATTTTAGCTTTTCTCTGTCCTCTAGTCAATTCTCCATTGACTACAGATGGTTTAACCTATCCAATATCAGATGGCGTGAAATTTAAATGAAGGAGATACAATTTTACCCTTTTTTTGTTTTCTCCCTTGTTTTCCTTTTGTTTTTCTCTTCTTCTTCGATCTCTTCTTCTTTTGAGCTTGTCTATGTATTTTGTTTATTTTCTGAAAAATTGTTTGACGTGCGATTTCGTCCATATATATATTGACAAACCAGTATCCTAATTTGTAAAGAAAATATAAACGTATGTAAGTAATTATTATTTATACATATATATTTATTATTGTATAATTATTATTGTATTACAACTGTCTATTATGCCTTTGTGTGTAAGTTACCAGCGGTAAAGCAAGCAGACGGCTGTGGCGGGGTGAGGTAGGGGTGCATTTTTAAAAAATATTTCCTTACGTTCCCAGTGAAACATAGGGGGCTCCAAGCTAGAGGCTTGAAGTCTCGGTAGCAGTGGTGTTTATTTTTACGGGATGGGGTTGCTAGCCTCACATCCAACCTTTCCTTTTTACCAGTCTTACTACTGGCTTGGCGAGGTAAAAGAGTGCGTCGGTGGCCGGGGATCGAACCCCGGACCACATGAGCCGTGGTTGGCGAGCATTCTACCGCTGTGCCACCGAAGCAACGGTGTTTTATTATAGAACTTTTTAGGGAAATGCACCAGTTCAAGTTACTACACAAAGGCAGAGAAAAAAGAGAATCGAAGGAACTATAATAAGCGAAAATATACGAGAGAAAGAATGTTAGCATGGAAAAGCATGAGAATCGTAGCTATTGAGTGCACCTGCTTTGAGCCATATCGCCAATAATCTCTCGCCATTGGTTCCTAGAATCCTGAAGACCACAACCAGGCAGTCTATACCTTCCTACATGGGTCAAACCAATTGTCAAAGATTTCATGGACTGGTGTCAGGCTTTTATGTCGGCTAACATTGGCTGTTGAGGAAGGCCGGTGAACTGACATGTGTAGCACGTGTCCTAGTCATCTCAATCGATGTAGATTCATCGGTTGATTTTCCCTTCTCACCTAACACTCTAAGCCTAACCTGAGTATTATAACGCTTAACAGGGGAGATAGAAAGCAAACACCATCTGTGGTCAAAGACAGCCATCCTTGTTTTTCATGTCTTCCACTTGTAATGGCCATGCCTCACAGACATAAACTAGGAGGAAGCCTTACGGGTACACACGTCCTATGATCGATATCCGTAAGTTGACAAGTCTCTCACGGGCCGTTTGCATTTGTGCTGAGATTTCTTCGGAAATCAGTCGATAAGGATTAATGCTATTTCCCAAATAAATGAAGTAGTCAATATGCCCAACCACCTCACTCTTTAAACTGGTATTTTGTGCACACTGATCCTGCATCACCATCATACATCTGCGTAGAGTGAATCATGCCAAATATTCATAAATTTCCTGTCAATGTGTTCAGCAAACTCTGCATTTTGTCAGCGTCTTCACTTAGGAGGACTATATCATCTGCACATTCTAAGTAAATAAGGTTATTCCCCAGTAACTTGTCAGTCCCTAAGTCAGTAAGGTCAGTTAGCGTCACTCCCATAAGTACATCTATGATGAAATTAAGCAGAATACGGTGAAAGTGTGCATCCCTAACCAACACTACTGGTTGTCTTCACTTCAGGCGACGATTCTGCATAAGCTATTACATGGCTTTGCGAGTTCGAGTGCAGTGACTTGATTAGTGCGATATACTTTCCCAGCAATCCCCTTCGCGGCTAAACATTGCTACAACACTTCTCGGTCGGCGAAATTGAATGCCACCTTCAGGTCAAGAAATATGGTGAGTGTTGAACGTCGATAAATATTGAGAATTTGTCTTTGGGTGGGGGGGGGGGGAGGGATGAATATGGCTGTTCAATCAATAAATAATAATTAAGAATAATCTTAGAGTATATAGAAAGTGAAAACAATGTTTTGTTGTAATTTTAGACGTTTACAATATCTATGGTGTAGATATGTGTATATTTATAAAGTAAGATTAGGTTGAAAAAGAAATACTGAGGTGAATAGACTAAGACACGCGCAGCAGGTCAGTGTGAGGGCAAATACTCACCGAAGATATTGGCTAGCGGTAACGCTATATCGTGAATTGACAGAAGTTAGAATTCATGAGCTGGCCATTGGATCAGGTCCTAGTGGCTGCTGAGTGGTCTACGAATTCGCATTGTAACCGGAAGGTCCTGGGTTCGAACCCCTGTGGTGGATGCGTACTGATGAAGAGTCCCAGACTTGGCTGATGAAACAGCTGTCCAGCACTCCCTGCAAGTTCTCCAGTGGTTCTCCAACCGATGTCAACTCATGATGAAATCCTGTAACCAAGTAGCTAATTAAGCTGGTTGCAAAGGATCAGGCATCAAGGTTGGCCAATCACACTCTGATAATTCCTCTGTCTCAGACTGATGGTTTAATGTATCGGCTCACGTGTAAGCCCGGTTCAGCCAACAAAATATAGTTACTTTAAGATCAGCCTAAATTAGGGGTAGCCTAAAAATCCCCACTAAGTCATTTAAAAGAAGAGGCTTTCAGCGTGGAGTTACTCTTTTTAGTAACATCATTCTGTGGCTGTTCAATGGCATATATATATATATATATATATATATATATAGTACGTTGTCATAACAACGAAAGGAATGTACCATTACAATTTTAAGTTTTAGATAGCAATTACACAGTACAAAAAGCGTTAATCTGGTAGGAACTAGACTGAAATTAAATAAGTAAATTGAGTGATGTAATACAACTGGTAGGATTGAGTAGAGCTCAGTGAAAGTTGTGAGGGGGTCAAGTTAGAGTCAGTGTCATATGGAGTAGTGATGTAACAGTGGAAAGGGAGGAAAGATTAGGACCAATGGAAATTATGTATCTAATATTAAAATTAATTAGGTTCATTGACTGGAAAAACTTTTTCGTATTCAGGATTCAACATGCGGATCCCTATAGCTTCTGCGATTTGAAGAAGTCTGATTCAGGTCAAACTTCTAACTTTGAAGTCGATTGATATAGGTATGAATCTCAGAAAAAACGTTAGTGTCCTTCATGTTGTAGATACACTTATTGTACTGATGAATATTGGCAATTAAGGGTATATAACACAATTGCAAATTTATGAAGCTGTGCGTAACGACCAAAACCCACTTGTTACTGTCTGAACTCAAGAAACCAGTCTATGCGTTCTATCGGATACTAAGTATAATTCCGATTATGATACTATAGTACATCCACGTTTTCACGTCATAGGGTGTACTAAAGCTGTACGCGACTAAATGCTAAACAACGTTCTATCAAAAGACACAAGTGAAAACTTGGAAAGAAGTATTGTTAACGAAATCAAATTCCGAAGAGCGCGAGGCGAAGGTTTTAAAGCCGCGCGCGCAATATATATATATGTAATACAATGGCAAATATTGAAGATCAGGCAATCATAAGTGATAAACCTTGTTCTGCCACGTCAATTTTAAATCGTATGAATGAAGTTCAGAATAGCATATCATTTACATCTATAGAAGAGGGAGATAATTGTTTATCTTTCCTAGATGATATATTGCTTAGTCGACGGCTTGATGGATCAATATAACGATCTATTCCTAGAAAACCTACATGAACAGGACACTGTCTTGATTATCGCAGTTTCCGGTCTGTTCGGTACAAAACAAACTTAGTGAGCTAAGTATCTCTTCAGTAGAATACAGCAAATATGCACCGAAAATACACACATGATGAGGAAGAAAGGAAATTGACACAAATTCCGGTTGATAATGATCATCTAGACAGGCTCATCAGGTGATATAAAGTGGGCAGAAGAACAAAACCCACTCTTCAACTCACCACTAAGAAAGACGTATATATCAGGCTACACTATGTGGGTGATCATATCAGCTTGGTATCTCGACAATGGTATATATGTATACTTTTTCAAGGTTGACTACGGATTGATATCAGTTTGAGAAAAGTTGAGAAATAGCAGGGAGTACTGAATGGCTGTTTCGTCCCAGTTCGGGACTCATCGACAGTAAGTACACAGCGGTTTTCGAACCCACAACCTTCCGATTACAAGTCAAACTCGTAGACGATTCACCCAATAGGATCCGACTCAATGGCCCATGAATTCTAACTTCTACTACTTCGTGATTTTAGCGTGACGACCAGCCAATGTCCTCACTTTAGATTGGACGGACTCCATTGGTCACGACTTCAATGCTAAAGTAGGGAAGTTGTGCCAGACTGAGAAGTATGTAAGTGGTACGTATGGAGTTCCCTGCCGACGAACCGACAACGGTTATCGTTTTCTACAGTTCTGTTCAGATAATCATCTGTTCCTAGTCAGCACTAACTTTAGGCGCTGCCTAACGTGGAGACCTCCATCACCAAATCAACGTTGGATTCAAATAGACCACATAGCGATAGGGTTTCGTCGGCGATGGTCAGTAGGAGACTGACGCTCCTTCTGGAACACGCACGTAAACTCCAATCACGCTGTGGTTCGCGTACGTTTATGCTTACGATTAAACGGACATAAAATATTGTTGGCAGTGAAGCAGTTTCGTCCCCAACTAGATTGAAACTCTGAGTCCCTATATAAGGAAGAAATAGCGAAACGTATGTCTGAGGTCGACAGCAAGAATCCTCCTGAGGCTGCCTGGCACAACATAGAGTTAGCTGTAGGCACAGCTGTAAAAGATGTTAATAACCTGAAACCCAAAGTTAATAAGAGCCATTTGATTTCTATCACCTCATCCGAACTGGTTGACACAAGAATACTGATTCCGGCAAGCTCCGATTATGATGCATTAAGCCTACTCGGTGTTAATCTCAAAACAAGTTTGATTACTAAGTGACTTCAGTTAAAGAATCGTTGAAAACTAGGGAGTATTGGACAGATATTTAGGCCTAGTTTCGGACTGTTCATCAGTAACCACCCATGCCCGCAATGGAGGTAGAACCTCGGACATCGAGGTTATGCGGCGAATGTGTTGAGCATTTAGCCAATTAAACGGAAACCAATTGTTTGCCTATAAATTCTGCCTTCTGTCAGTCCACGATTGAAATTCCCATCACGTTTGTCCTCACATGCAACATGGTGGAGCCTGGTGATCATGCCTTCTTACCAGAAATACTCCAGGCACCTTAATCCAGCTATCAGTCGCAAGTGAACATTGGACTAACTGTCAAGTTTCTCAAATCTTTGTCTGTCTGTTTTCGACATAGAACTTTGCACATATGTG